TTTTGCAACATCGATAAACTTTCTATTTTGAAACAACAACATGTAGACTTGCAAAATAAGCATGGTAAAGGCTATCCTTGACATTTTTATTGAAAAGAAAGATGCAAAAAATTATTCTAAATAACAGAAAGTAAGTCCTAACAAAATAAATGATGCTCAAAGTAAAACTCATATCATGTGACGAATGAAAATATAGCCCCAAGTAAGATTACCGGTAATGTTGGAGACGAAAGAGGGGATGCCTTCCAGGGCATCCCCAAGCTTAGTTGCTTGGATATTCCTTGAATATGACCTTGTGGTGCCTTGGGCATCCCCAAGCTTAGGGTCTTGTCACTCCTTATTCTCCTCATATCGACATCTCACCCAAAACTTGAAAACTTCAATCACACAAAACTTAACAGAACTTCGTGAGATAGGTTAGTATGATAAAGAGTAAACCATTTCACTTTGGTACAGTCAAAGACAAGATTCATAATTATTTCCACACAATGCCTACTGTGGAATATCATTTACACGATTTATATTGAGCAATATAAGCCATAGAAACTAGGAAACAAGCAAACTATGCATTAAAAACAGAATCTGTTAAAAACATAACAATCTGTAGTAATTTGTACTCCAACCATGGTTCTGTAACTCCAAAAATTCTGAAAAATTAGGAAAACGTAGATAATTTGTATATCTATCACCTGTAAGAAATTCAGATCAAAATCATGTTCCAGTTAATTTTCAAATTTCCTGGACTGAGCGCAAAAGTTTCTGTTTTTGCACAGAATCAAGTCAACTATCATCCACACTATCCCAAAGGCTTTACTTGCCACTTTATTGAAACAAAAGCAATAAAACATGATTACTACAGTAGCATAATCATGTGAACACACAAAAATAGTAGGTAAAAGTGTTGGGTTGTCTCCCAACAAGCGCTTTTCTTTAATGCCTTTTTAGCTAGGCATGATGATTTCAATGATGCTCACATAAAAGATAAGAATTGAAACATAACAAGAGCATCATGAATCATAAGTTCTTCTCTCATAATAATTTTCAGTAGCATCATGAATAGATTCATCCATATAACCATCACATACAACACTTTTTTCATGATGCACAAGCATAGAAGATTTACTACTCTTTATGGCATACATGTCATCATAATAATCATCTTAGATACCAACATTATTGTCATAGTCAATTGAAACCTCTTCCAAAATAGTGGATGTATCACTAAATAAAGTCATGACCTCTCCAAATCCACTTTCATCAATATTGTAATAAGATTCAACACCCTCCAAAATAGTGGGATCACTACTACCTAGAGTTGACACTTTTCCAAACCCACTTTCATCATTGTAATCATCATAAATAGGAGACATGCTATCATCATAATAAATTTTCTTATCAAAAGTATAAGGAATCAAAGGATCATATTCATTATGCAAAGCATCTCCAAGCTTAGGACAAGCATTATTTTTAGCAAATAAATCTTCAAACATTTCATACTCATCAAACATAGCATCCCCAAGATTGTGGTTTTGCATATCATCATAATAATTCTTATCAATAGCATGAATGGCACCAATAGTATAGTAAACATTATTATCATATTCTTCCAAGCAAGTGCCAAAAACATTTTCAAGATCATAAGAGACATCATTGTCTTCCCAATCATAATCATCACAACAAGTAGTAGGCATCACAAAAATCATACTCAATATCATCATCCTCCATCAACATATTTGATTCACTTTCATGAGGCACAATGGTGATAGGAGCAATATTACTTAGGAGAGTTACGTTTTACCTCTACTTTTTCTTCTTTCCTTTTTCTTCTTCACCACCTCACGTGTGGGTTTGATCAATTTTTTCGAGCTTCTTGTTGAATTGATTGATTGGATCGTTACCTGATTCATCATAATAAACACTAGGAGGGTATTGGAAAATATTTTCCCTTTCATTAGTACTCTCTTCATACTCTATTTGTTTTCTTATCTTTAGATAGTTGGCAATATAAGGACTCTCAATACAATTTACCGGACAAAACATATAAATTTCCTCTAGATCAAAATCAAGAAATCTATTGAGATTAAATTTTGGAATACCCTTAGTTATACGTTTCATTTCTTCATACCCCAAAAGAAGACTAAGCTCTTTATGGTGCTCAAGGGTAATAAAGTTATCACAATTTTTGGACATGATTTGATCATGAAACAAATAGCATTGGAGATTTAAATGATCACGTTCATTGCAAAGTTCACAAGGATGGCGAAAAGAATTTAAATCTTTCAGCACAATCATCTAGCCTCTCTTGCAACTTTTTTGTTTCTAAATATTTATGCTTCTTACAAAACCTATCTTACTTTTTGGTGTGTGTTTGCACTCCCAATTTACTCCACAAAAATTGACATCCTTGTAGGAGACATCATTATCATGACCAATGCAATCATCATTAACATCATGGATATTCAAAAAATTCATACTAGCAACATTGCAATCATGCCCATCATCCAACATTTTTGTGCCATAAATTTTGTTGAATTCTTTTTTTAGCAATTGAGCACAATTATCAGAATCCTTATTCTCAAGATAGACATTATATGATAAATAACAACCTGAGGTAACCCAGTCTCCATTTTTTTGAAATTTTCTTTTTATAAACCAAGCTAGTGATAAAATAAGAAACTTAATGATTCAACTGCAAAAATCTAAAGATATACCTTCAAGCACTCACCTCTCCGGCAACGGCGCCAGAAAAGAGTTTGATGTCTACGATGCAACTTGTTCTTGTAGACTTGTGTTGGGCCTCAGCGCAGAGTTTTGTAGGACAGTAGCAATTTTTCCTCAAGTGGATGACCTAAGGTTTATCAATCCATGAGAGATGTAGGATGAAGATGGTCTCTCTCAAACAACCCTGCAACCAAATAATAAAAAGTCTCTTGTGTCCCCAACACACCCAATACAATGGCAAATTGTATAGGTGCACTAGTTTGGCAAAGAGATGGTAAAATAAGTGTAGTATGGATAGTAGATATTGATTTTTGTAATCTGAAATTATAAAAACAGCAAGGTAACCAATAGTAAATGGGCACAAAAACAGTATTGCAATGCTTAGAAACAAGGCCTAGGGTTTGTACTATCGCTAGTGCAATCTCTCAACAATGCTAATATAATTGGATCACATAACCATCCCTCAATGTGCAACGAAGAATCACTCCAAAGTTCTTATCTAGCGAAGAACATAAGAAGAAACTGTTTGTAGCTATTCTTTCCGATCGATCTATCAAGAGTTCGTACTAAAATAACACCAAAGCAAATTCAGATTCATAATACTCAATGCAACACAAAGAACCTCAAGGAGTGCCCCAAGATTTCTACCGGAGAAACAAACACAAGAACATGCATCAACCCCTATGCATAGATTACCCCAATGTCACCTCGGGAATCCACGAGTTGAGTGCCAAAACATATATCAATTGAATTAATACGATACCCCATTGTCACCACGGGTATTCATAACAAGACATACATCAAGTGTTCTCAAATCCATAAAAGTATTCAATCCGATAAAACGAAATCTCAAAGGGAAAACTCAATTCATCACAAGATAAGAGGGGTAAACACCATATGATCCGACTATATTAACAAAGCCCGCGATACATCAAGATCGTGACATCTCAAGAACACGAGAGAGAGAGAGAGGGATTAAACACATAGCTACTGGTACAAACCCTCAGCCCCGAGGGTGGACTACTCCCTCCTCATCATGGTGGCCGCCTGGATGATGAAGATGACCAACGATGATGATCTCCCCCTTTGGCGGAGTGCCGGAACGGGGTCTAAATTGGTTTTTCGTGGCTACAGAGGCTTGCGGCCGCGGAACTTCTGATCTAGGTTCTCCGCGAGGGTTTTTAGAACATTTGACGATTTATAGGGCGAAGTGGGGGTGCGGGAGGCCACTGAGGTGGGCAGAACCCACCGGGGCGCGCCTGGCCTTCTGGTCCATAAAAAATCCACAAAAAGTTTCGCGGTGTTTGGACTCCGCTTGATATTGATTTCCTGCGATGTAAAAAACAAGCAAAAAACAGCAACTGGCACCGGGCACTGGGTCAATAGGTTAGTCCTAAAAAAGATATAAAGTTGCTATAAAATGATTGTAAAACATCCAAGAACGATAATATAACAACATGAATACTTCATAAATTATAGATACGTCGGAGACGTATCAATCACCACGGCCCCTACTCGCGTCAGAGCTGCCCCCGCGCGGCCTCTGCTCTCGTCGCCGCGACCGTGGTACTCCTGCTCGCGCCGATACGGGCTGACAGTGCAGCTCCAAGCGCAGTGCTCTCCTCCCTCCGCCGCAGCAGCTCAAACCCGAGCAGCCACGCGCGCCTTCCCTCGCCGTGGGCCCAATCCCCCGCCGGGTGCCGCCCCCCTCCCCCTCTCCTCCTTCGGTGACCTCCCCCTTCCCATCAACCCCACTCAGGCGCCACCATGGATCCCTTTCTATCTCCCCTCCTCTTTCACTCGTGTGAATGACGAGAAAGTGATGACAAGTGGATAGGAAGGGGAAAGAGGGTGAGGATGGTGAGGTAAAAAAAATGTGTTCCGGCGGATGGCATAGCGCCCGCACGAGCCAGTTAGATGACGTGTCGACGGGTTCTGCTTTAAGATCCCTGATCGTCATCGGGTGGTTACAACAAACGACAAAGTGCCTTCGTGCCACACGTGTGGGCATTATTATTTAGGTTTTTATTTTCCTTCATACCTGTTGGCATGGTACGGATCAGCCCATCTCCCCGTCCAGCCCAACAAACTCGGCTCGATGTACCCGTAGGCCACCTCCTCGGAAAGGAAAATCTGCGTGTGCCATCCTGTAAAGAAAAATCTAGCGTTGGCCTTCTCAAGGAAAGAAACAAGCTCTTCTCAAAAAAAAAGGGGGGGAAAGAAACAAGCACCGCCGTCTAAAAAGGGCTCGCCGTCGTCCCCATTTCCGGCACTCTTACATGCAGATGCAGGATCCTCCGCCGCTGACGGGGGAAACCCCAGACCGTACGCCCCCTGCCCCCCTCCTCCATTTCTCGACCATTCCTAAATTTGTTTCAGCGTATGCTCATTTGCTCTCACCCACTTTAATCTCCTTAACCTATTAGATCTATTCGATGTGGTTAAAAACTGATATCAGTCTCAGCGTAGTTCCAAGCTGATTCACTTATGTACAAGTCCGCAGCAACGTTTATTCTGGGTCCAGTTGTTTTTTCTGGGTGGGGAGGGGGCGGGCGATTGGGGATTCATAGAGGCGACGGAAACGAACTGGATGTATGTCAGTTCATTACTTGCGAATCCGCATCCCACTGTTTTCTGTCAGTGGTCGGAACTCGATGTATGCAAGGTTTTAAATAGCAGTTTTGCAAAAGCACATCTAGACGTGTCATATAAGTGTTGCACATCTGAGTCCTATGTCATTGATCTTACACGGAGATTTGTGTGCGCATTTTCTTTTTTCTTTTGACGTTTGATAAGTCACTTAGACGTGCAATAACTAGGGTACAGCTAAGATGCTAGGCAGACCCTTTAAATAGCGGATTGGGGTCGACGCAGCGAATCGCGGATAGCAGGCGCTATGTCCGTGGAGCAGATTTGCAAAAGACATTCATAATTTTGAGATTCTTTGTATATTTCTGGATCATTAACAATCATGTATGTCAGTTTGCTTGTGAATTGTATCCCACTGTTTTCTGTACTGTCATCAGTGATGGTGACTGATGTATCCCAGGTGGATCGATTGCTCCAATCTGCAACCCAAAGGGCTCACCCTGGCAGCAAGATGACGATTTTCAAAGTGACTGTGTCGAAGCAATACGATCGTTGGGCGACCTTCCAGAGGTATAAATTACTGACCTAAATTGCAAGTAAATCGCCATTGTGTGTGCTAGAGGTGCACGGATCTGGATTGTAGGGAAATGCTGGTCAGTGTTTGCTTGCCGAATAAACACGAAGAATGGTTATGTTACTAGTTTTGGTTACCTGAGCATTCGTGTAATATTCTGTGACACTGCCAATGCGCTAAGCACTTGAGCTGTAAGTCTGTAAGCAGTTTTCTCCAAGGCAGAAGTGCATACGGGCTTCAATGAATGGCAGCCCATTGTCTATCCCTAAGAAACCGTTCACATTAGATAATTGCTTAATGCTTCCAGTAGTAGTGGAAGCTTGAATTCCATATGATGGAAGGCTGTTCTTTTATCTGCCTTGCTAAATCTATTTACTGGCTCAAAATTTTCCGATTTACTATTTATACCCTGTCCAGAATGTACATTTTTTTTATTTTCGCTTTGTTGCTATACTTAATCATTTGTTGTAGCTGACTGTATCCCATCGTATAGAATAGCATCATCCTATGGATATTTGAATGTTGACCGGCACAAACACACACAAATTGTTCTTGTGGACTGCCTTACGCATGTAAGATTGCAATTGTATATTCACACTTTCTCTCTTGGGATTAAGTCCCAGTGCATGGCCTTCCTCTGTACCATGTAAACGTGTAATACTGCAAGTTTGTGCAGATCAATTTATAAATTTATTTTATAACCTTAGTTACTATTCTGCTGCGCTTCTGTATCCAGGATATCTGTCGACGTATTCATGCCCGAATGCCACTGCGAGATGCTGCCCGCTTGGCTTGTGTATCACACAAATTTTGGAGATCATGGAGATGCTATCCCAAGCTTGACTTACGTCAGGAAACACTAGGTTTGAATGGAGATCTCATCAGTAAAGTTGACAGTATTCTGAAAAATCACTCGGGCGTTGGCTTGAAGGAACTAAATATTGAACTTTCTAGCTGTGACAAGGTTGATTCTTGTTATATCAGTAGTTGGCTTCGTATTGCTGTTACAGCAGGAATTGAAGAACTCAGCTTTTTTCTGCCTCATATTCCTGAGGAAGAAGAAAACTATTTCCCATGCTCACCTTTACTTAATGGGAGTGAAAACTCAATTCGGTATCTTGACATAGGCATCTGTGCCTTTCGTCCCACGGCTGGGCTTGGTCATTGGAGTAGCTTGACAAGGTTATATCTGAGTAATGTGCGGGTTGCTGACGATGAGCTAGAGGGCCTTCTTTACAGTTCTGATGCATTGGAGCATTTGGGAGTCCTGAATTGCCCCGAGATAGTTTGCCTGAAGATACCTTGTCTGCTGCAGCGGCTTAGGCTCCTGACAGTGTCTTTATGCAGAAATCTGCAAGTGATAGATTGCAATGCTCCAAATATCTCCATTTTTCACTTCTCTGGTAGCTTAGTATCGATTTTCTTCGAAAGTGCATTGCAAGTAAAGAATGTTGAAATGGATTGTTTAGAATCTGGTCAGTCCAACATTGTCTTGCATGCTCGGACCAAGCTTCTGTCCTATGCGCCAAATGTTGAAACACTTGCCATATCCTCGCCTAATGAGGTATATTCTGAAAGTTCAGATCAGTATATACTATAGACTAGCTATTTGCATATTATAATTGACATACCTAGTAATATAATTAATCTGGATATCTTTATGTAGATGATCAGTACACCAATGCTACCTAGCAAATTCCTCTGCCTCAAGTACTTGCATATTTCTCTAATTGGAGATGAAGCTATTTCACCAGCTTATGATTACCTTTCTCTGGCTTCTTTTCTTGAAGCTTCTCCTTGCCTGGAGACATTCATCTTGGAAGTAAGTTACTTGAATCTTGCTAGCATACCTAGTGTATTGTGGAACTGCTGATGCGAGCATCTTGGCTCTCTATGTAGGTGCGGCAGCCTTACATGAAGCATGATTCAGTTGTCGAGGATTCCTCGCACCTAAGATGGCTACCACAGCAGCGTCACAACAGCCTAAAGAGTGTGACAATCGTCGGCTTCTGCTCCGCAAAGAGCTTGGTCGAGTTGACATGCCACATTGTTGAGAACGCGGCATCGCTCGAGCGCCTCACGTTAGACCAATATTTTAAATAGCGCGCTACAAAATATAGCGAGGCCCTTCTCTAAATGCTACACAAGTTATAGCGTGCTAATAGCGTGCTATATTTCAAAATAGCATTTGCAAAAAAAAAATCAAAATATCTAGAAATAAAGTATTTAAGCAACTAAATTTTTCATAGGAGCAAGCAATATATGCATCTGATAAAAGGAGTGAGAAAGCTAGTGGGAGAATCTGATAAAAGGAGTGAGAAAGCTAGTGGTCGTGGGTTGATTTTGGCCTGCTGGGCTTGTTGGGCTGTGCTTATTTCAGTTTTGCATGGTATGCACGTTATAACGTTACAACGTTATAGCGTGTGTAGCGCGCTAATTACGCGATTAGCGCCGTAGCGTCTGATTTTGCCAAAACGTAACGTCTCCTTTCCAAATATGCTATAACCGCGTTATAACGGCGAAATAGTGTGCTATTTAAAATATTGCGTTAGACACCACTCATGGCTGTCAGAGTTCTGGTGGGTGTAGCGTTGATAAACCTAACAGATGGTTCTATACAGAGAGGGGTATCCTCATGGCGGCCCCACCTGACCGATGCATATCCTCATGGAGTCTCACCGGGCGCGTTTAGCTATCAGAAGACATGTCGAGCGGAAAGTTCCTTCTGGAGTCGTGTTGAAAGTCGTGGAGCCTTGCAGTCGGTGCATAATGTTGAACTTTTAGATGCCTAATTAGCATCATGCCAAACTGTACTGTTTATGATGCATTATTTTGAACTATCAGAATTGCTTAACGATAGTTATGTGAAATTTCATATGCCGCTTTTTGTTTCTTAAATTATTATCAGAGGTGCCTAATGTTTAATGATGTAAAGTTTTTAGTAGTGATTCCTGCTGACAAATGAAATCAGGGAAATGATTTTTGCTGCTTTGTTCGTTGCTACTTTCAGAGAGATTACAGAGCAGCGTGCTCTACTTATGGATGTTTTCCAGATTGTTGTCATGTAAAATCGTAGTAGTGATTCACTCAGTGAGCCCCGATTTTTTGAACCAAAATCCATACAGGCCTCCACGGATGTCATTTCAAGGTAAATTTTTTTGCAGGGTGTTAGAAAATCTGTTGATCTTTATCCACACAAAAAAAATCAGATTTTTTTTATTCTTTTTTTTGGAATTTACAGTTCATGCAGGTGTATTTGAGCTCACGAGCAGATAATCCATGCCCCTATTATGGATTTATGTTCTTTTAGACTCTGTTTGTCCTCCAAGCATTTAGGATTATAGGACAACAATAAATTTTCGTCATGTGGATGGCCTAAGATAGGAGCACTAGTTCAGCGAAGAAAATGATAATTTTTGGATAACAGATGGATAATATAAATGACAGAATAATTTTGTATCTTCTGAATAAATAAAAACTGCAAAGTAGCAAAGGTATCAGATGCATCATTGCGGTCCGTGAAATACGCATCTGCCGCTGGCAAAAAACCTGGGCTCACCAGCCTACATTTTGTGTTCTTGCTTCGGAATCTTTGGTCGGTTGCAGAGCTTGCAGATTGCAGCAAGGAAGCCATCGGTTTCGGTTTGGGCTTCTGCGCACTCGTGCACGTTTCAGATATGGCATTTCTTCCCCCGTTTCGAAAAAAAAAAGAAAAAGATATGGCATTTCTTCGCTGGATTCGACGATCTGGCCTCGCCAGGCATTTCTTTTTAGCATCCAGAGTATCAGTCTAACCAAGATTAGCAGTTCGGATCTGATGCTAGGCTGATCATCTTGGGAGCACCGTTAATTAGCTAACTGTCTAACTGTGGGTCCGGCAAAGTTCTTGGCAGTTGGCATATCCTCCTTTCTTCCACACTTCTTCAGGTCACTAGATAATTCAGACATCGTTCTACTCCCTCCGTCCCATAATATAAAAGCATTTTTTACTTGAGTACTTGACAGGTGATCGACCTACTACTGCCTTCCCTGAAGTTAGTGTTACAACTTAGAACTGAATGGGATTAGGCCAGAAATTGACCAGACCCTGACTCTGTCTGTCTGGTTGGATCTTCACCACTTGCAAGAAGTTAGTTCCTTCCCCTCTCAAGCTCTGAAAGCAGCAGTTGACATGACCCATTTCCCCTTCGCTGTTGGGATAATTGCATGTAATCTATAGCAATTCAACTGGATAATGGATTGTTTTGGTTTGATCTTCTCGCACAACACATGCGCATGTTCCCATCGTTCCGGCTAGCTTCCATTACGCGTTAGCTAGTTAATCACCATTCTACCCTTCTGTGAGCCCGCGGGAGACCGGCGTGTATCTCTACTTCTAATGGAGCAATTGGTGAATAGTCTTCACGGTTTATTTTCGCTGTTTTTCTTTCGTCTCTCCTCCCACCACCCCCTCCCATCCTGGTCCATCGATTTATTTTTCTCTCCACTCTTTATTACAACCAGGACTTCCCTAACGTATAACAAATCACGGATCTAACTTCCTTAAATTATTCATATCAATCAATTTCTTTTATTGGTTCAATTTGTCTTAGAAAACAAATAACAAATTTTTAAGAAACAAATAATAGATTTGAATCTAACTTTCCTAACTTATCTAAATCAATCGATTTCTCTCATTAGTGAAATTTGTTTTAGAAAACAAATAACAGACACGTTACAAACTTTCCTTTCAATAAATAGTTTCTTAACATTTGCAAACTTTCCTAATCAGACACGTCACAAACAGGCAGGTACTGATATTATGTTACCAAACAATAAAACCCCATTTGCATAGAAATCAGTTCAAAATCCTAACTTTCCTAAATTTTTACCTTTCCCTGATAACATCCAATATTTCCTATGTTTTCCACCTATTGAAGGAAATCACCCCTCCATCGATATTAGCATTTTTTTTGAAATGAGATCTCCGGGTTATGATTTTTTTGTGATTCTTTCCAATTGTGACCTCTCCTTCCGCTCCGGCTCCTTCTCGCATAATCACCTCCACCACAGCCAGCTGACGCCACCCTAGACCTCTTGCCTCTCCACACCTTCTCCGCCACCTCCTCCTCGTACTCCATTGACAATCCCTCTGCCACGTTTGTTCACGGCGGTGTCGAGGGCATGGCGCAACAGTGTACCAGTGGTAGAGCAGCGCATAGCAGCAGGAAGAAGCACGCAGTAGGCGAGGCGAGCGGCCGACGGTGGAAGGCAGAGATGCGGCCGACTGATACGTCCATTTTGCATCATGCTTTTATATCAATATTTATTGGATTATGGGCTGTTATTACACGTTATATCTCAATACTTATGGCTATTCTCTCTTATTTTACAAGGTTTACTGTGAATAGGGAGAATGCCGGCAGTTGGAATTCTGGCTGGAAAAGGAGCAAACATTGAAAACCTATTCTGCAATGCTCCAAAAATCCTGAAACTCCACGAAACCTATTTTTGGAATTAATAAGAATTATTGAGCGGAAAAAGTACACCAGGGGGCCCACACCCTGTTCAGGAGGGTGGGGGCGCGCCCCCTGTCTCCTGGGCCCCCTGGTGGCCCCCCGGTGTCCATCTTCTGCTATATGAGGGCTTTTATCCTAGAAAAAATCGTGGGCAAGCTTACGGGGCGAAACTCCGCCGCCACGAGGCGAAACCTTGGTGGAACCAATCTAGGGCTCTGGCGGAGCTGTTCTGCCGGGGACACTTCCCTCCGGGAGGAGGAAATCATCACCAACATCATCACCAACGATCCTCTCATCGGGAGGGGGTCAATCTCCATCAACATCTTCACCAGCACCATCTCCTCTCAAAACCCTAGTTCATCTCTTGTATCCAATCTTGTATCAAACCACAAATTGGTACCTGTGGGTTGCTAGTAGTGTTGATTACTCCTTGTAGTTGATGCTAATTGGTTTACTTGGTGGAAGATCATATGTTTAGATCCTTAATGCATATTATTACTCCTCTGATTATGAACATGAATATGCTTTGTGAGTAGTTATGTTTGTTCCTGAGGACATGGGTGAAGTCTTGCTATTAGTAGTCATGTGAATTTGGTATTCATTCGATATTTTGATGTGATGTATGATGTCTTTTCCTCTAGTGGTGTTATGTGAACGTCGACTACATGACAATTCACCATTATTTGGGCCTAGAGGAAGGCATTGGGAAGTAATAAGTAGATGATGGGTTGTGAGAGTGACAGAAGCTTAAACCCTAGTTTATGCGTTGCTTCGTTAGGGGTTGATTTGGATCCATACGTTTAATGTTGTGGTTAGGTTTACCTTAATACTTCTTTTGTAGTTGCGGACGCTTGCAGTAGGGGTTAATCATAAGTGGGATGCTTGTCCAAGTAAGGGCAGTACCCAAGCACCGGTCCACCCACATATCAAATTATCAAAGTACCGAACGCGAATCATATGAACGTGATGAAAACTAGCTTGACGATAATTCCCATGTGTCCCCGGGAGCTCCTTTGTCATTATTAGAAATTGTCCAGGCTTATCCTTTGCTACATAAAGGATTGGGTCACCTTGCTGCACTTTATTTACTTTATTTACTTGTTGCTCGTTACTATTTATCTTATCACAAAACAATCTATTATCTACAATTTTAGTGCTTGCAGAGAAAACCTTACTGAAAACCGCTTATCATTTCCTTCTGCTCCTCGTTGGGTTCGACACTCTTACTTACCGAAAGGACTACGATAGACCCCCTACACTTTTGGGTCATCAAGACTCTTTTCTGGCGCCGTTGCCGGGGAGTGTAGCGCTTTTGGTGAGTGGAACTTGGTAAGGAAACATTTATATAGTGTGCTGAAATTTTCTGTTACTTGTTACTATGGAAACTAATCCTTTGAGGGGCTTGTTCAGGGTATCTTCACCCCGACCAGAAGAGCAAAGAGTTGCTCCTCAACCTACTGAACTTTATGAAAATATTTACTTTGATATTCCTTCGGGTATGATAGAGAAACTGCTAGCTAATCCATTTGCAGGAGGTGGAATATTGCATCCCGATTTACACCTTATCTTTGTGGACGAAGTTTGTGGATTATTTAAGCTTGCAGG